CAATCAACTGAGTTGAAACGCAGCTTCATATATTGTTCAATTTTTCCAAAAAGCTATGAAATTGAAATTAATAAATTGATCCAATTGTGGATGGCACAGGGGCTCATTCAATCATCTGGCCTAACTGGTGAGTTAGAAGGTACTGGCACTGATTATTTGAATTAGTTGTGTTCCATATTTTTCTTAGAAAAGACTGAAGAACAACATGGCAATCTATCAAACATGTGTAGAATGCCTGAGATCATTCATGATCTTGCAGTATATATGGAAAATGAAGAATGCTTAATTACAAAAAATTATCGTTTTGGGCTGATTTCTGATAAGGTTAAGCATGTATCATTTCATGATTTTTGATTGTTCAGGGGAAGAAGTCACAAAGGCATTATTTGAACTAAAGAATTTGAGGACTGTTTTCTTTCCATTTCAAGGACTAGGAGCTAGTGACACAGGCTTTGTTAACAGATGTATCTCAAAGTTCAAGTATCTGTATGTGCTTGATTTGAGTAACTCATGTTTTCAGGTATTGCCACATTTCATTGGTAATTTGAATCATTTGAGATTTTTTGACATCAGTGGGAATGTAAATATCAAGACACTCCCTAATGCCATTTGCAAACTGTTCAATTTGCAAACTTTGAGAATCTGGTATTGTGTGAAAATTCGAAAGTTACCCAAAAACATAGGGAACTTAATTTATCTTAGGCATTTTGCCACAACCTAAACCTGCCCATATGGGTTTAGCATCGTAACCGGCCAGTAATCTTAGGATTACTGAAGGCCTCTGAGACAGATTGACATAATATTAGGGGCTAGCGGAAGTAAATAACAAATATACAACATCCATTGAGTTGTGCAGACTTACATGAGACAGAAAAATTTTAAACCTTTATATACATATCAACACATCCTCCTTACGTCATCATACATATACAGATTAGACAAAAAGGGACTTAGCCCTATTTACAAAATAAACAAAGACTTGGATAAACAAACAAGAAAAACAAAACTTAAACTTTAATCACATAGCCATAACCACTTGACATATCAGGAACCTCCACGGGAGGCACATCGGTTGGCTGACAAAAACAGATTCCAGGCAAATGCCTCTAAGCCTGGTCACGCGCCTGATCACCTACATACATAAATAATATAGTGAGCTAGAGCCTAGTGAATAATAACAAGGTAAAGGGTTTTAACGAATGATGTCCATCACAGAGTTAGAAATCATAGTTTATATCAGAAACAGAGTCTTATGCATATTCAGATTTCAAATCAGAAATAGATTCTTATATATGTTCATGTTCATATTCATATTCAGATTTTGCATAAGATCATACGTGGTACATCCATTAGCTATCATATCAACTTGGTCCTGAGACCCACATATATAGTCAGTACCGACGACCATAAAGGTCCATATCATGCGCGCAAATAGCCATGATATTGTTACCCTCAGGCGAGGGCCACGTGAATATAGAGCTCGATATTGTTACCCCCGGGCAAGGGCCAAGTGAATATAAGCCACGGTATTGTTACCCCCAGGCGAGGGCGACGTGCATATTAGCCACGGTATTGTTACCCTTGGGCGAGGGCCACATGTTGGATATCCAGCAACTAACTCTCTCTCTTGGTCCTCCTCTTTCTCGCTCTCAGTTATTTTTGCTTCCATTACATTCCTATTCAACATATTGAGTTCACGTTTTTCTTTTTCTTTTTCTTTTGTTCTTACTGATTCTAGAACTCACCAGCACACACACACCTTTGTCTCAACATCGCACGTATGCATACACTTGTATAATTAGAATTCTTAGCACACCCACACAGGTTTCTCTGCACACCCACATACACTCTCAATTCTAGATTCTTTCTTAATTTAATTCATGAATAAGATTAGCTTAATTTAAATAACACTTAATAAATCTTAATTAACACATAATTAAATTAATTACAACTAATCATACATTCCACATAATTTAATTTGTCTAATTTGACTTTCTTTAGAGCCCAATTAATTATATTAAATCTACCATTCTGAATCAAATTTTTAATCAAACTCCCAAAAGGCTCCAAATATTAAATTAAACTTATTTCCATCCTCAATTTTGATTTCTTAAATCATCTAAGCCTTCAATTTCTGATCAGACTCAAAATTTCGTTAATAAATTACATATTCAAATTAGGCACCACATAAATTAATTTAATTCATAATAATCTTAATTCCTACTTCATATAACTTAATTAACTCTAATTCGGACCCAATTAATTAAATCTCAATTTTATAAATCTAAATCGAATATTTAATTAAACTCTCATATGGTCCGATACTCGAAATTAAAATAATTCAATTCACCATTTGTACTATCTTGAGCCATTTAGGTTTTCAATTTCTAATTCCAAAATAAATCTTCAATAGAATCATATACGAATCAGTCTCCATAATTTTCATAAATCTCGAATTAAATTAGAGTAATGGGCAATTAAATTCAAATCTCTTTGATTAATTAAATGCTAATTATTATACGTGGTGGGGTCCTCATAGCCTTTCCCCCTTAAAAAGTTTGGTCCTCCAAACTTAAGGTATTTGTACTGAAAACTGGTGGTATAGGTTGGTCTCATTTCATTTCCTTCCCTAAGTAACTTCCTTTTTATTGGATTTCCTTCACAGAAATTGAACTTATTTCCCAATCACTTAATAGTTAATAGCCCAAATTGGTGATTCATTACCGTCTCTATTGTCATCAATCACATAACTTAGATACTTTAATTCACCTATCTATAATTCACATACTCCAAATAATAGAAGTTTAATTCAAGGGATGTTCATGATTCTCCATACTTTTTAAATAAATCAAAATATTCCGCTATTGACGTGTTAGATTCTTTACATTGAATTTAATAGTCAATGCATTACTAATAACAAATACAAATTCTTGATCTTTCTAGTCTATTGACAATAATAGTCCTGACATTATTCCAATGCGGTTCATAATTCATTATTTCTCAAGGGAACAGTTACTACACTGCGGGAAAATTGATTTTTACTGGCGTTTCAAAAACGTTGCTAAATCTGTCAAAAATGCCGGCAAAACATATGCTGGTGTTTTAAAATTACGTCGAAGATGCGGCCGTCGCTATAACTTTGCAACGTTTTATAAACACCGTACAAGATCTTTCGCGGCTTTTTTTTAAATGCCAGCGTAGAAGTTGCCATACTAACTTATAGTGGCGTTTTTATTAAAACGTCTCTAAAAGCCTTTTTTTTTATTAAAAAAAAGCTAAACCTAATCAGAATTTTTCCCAAATAAATTTACAATAAAATAACAAAATCTAATCAAAACATGTATTCCTTCCTCCAAAAAAACCAAAAAACAAAAAGAGAGAGACCAACAAAAGCAAAATTCAAAGTACACAATTCATAATAACTTGAACATTTGATCACTTTGATCACCTTTAACATTCAAAATAAATTAAAACCAATTAAGCCATAAATATTTTAGAAAAATATAAATTTGACCAATGAAAATTTATGACAACAAAAAATTAAAAATATTTACAGACATGAGCAGATCATGACACACTACTACTTCATGATATTAAGTTCACTTTCTGCCATGGCTGCTAAGGTGGTACTCCAAATGTCTGCACTGGAAACAAAATAAGACATCTATGAGAATTGGACAAGTTTGGATATAATAAAAACATTATTAGACGTAATCAACAGCAACAGTACACATTAACAAATTACTGAGAAGTAATTATAAGTAATTAACTGTAACAAACTAATGAGGGCAATGTTATGGAACAAATGTGATAATGATAGAAAAAGCACTAGTAGCCATCATGAAGAAATCAAAAATAAAAATAAAATAAAATTCAAAAGGTACTAAGATAATTGGGAGTGTTTGGAATGAGCCCACTATATTATACGTGTTTGGCCTCATCAATATAGCCAATTATTTGTGTAGAAAAATCCACATCAGTGTTTGGGTGGTGTGCAGCACATGACAACATGGGCAACCCAAGTGTTTTGGGTGTCTGAAGTGCATGGTATGTGTTAGCAAATCATATGATAAATCAAAAATCATCTTGAATCTGCAGACTAGCTAAAAAGAATTTGCAAATTGGGGGAAACAAATTTGCAGATTGCCAGCAATTTTTGCTCTCAATTTGCTGATTCATGAATTAAAGCACCACCACCTACCACCCTAGGGTAGCAGATTAGAGCATTGAGTCAATGCTTATGCTTAGGTCTTTTTACTATGCTTATGAAATTTCATTATGAAAATCAACATCCAACAGTTATAACATAAGCATTTCACCAAGCACAAAATCCACTTCAGAAAAAGTCAACTTCATCTCTACAATACTTCTTGTAGTTGTAACTAGACAGATCTGAGCACTACTACCCAGATCAACAGTTGCGAAGCATAAGTGGAGCCATCACAAGAATAAGGAATGGTCAAAAAGAAAGCTACATTCCTATTTGATAAAGGGTTGTAAAAGATGACAGTATGTTACAATTTTATCTCCAGATTCATTCTGGTGGTGATTTAAGAATTTAAGATTAACAGGAAAAAATCTTCAGTGTAAAAATTGATACTTAGATGTTAAAACTAGTGGATTTGCCATCATTTTAATTATCAGAATAAAGCACAGTTGTTTTTCCTCACACTATCATTCTGCTATTCTTCATTCAAGGAAAGGAAAAGGATAGGACCAATCTCTTCAGAGTCTCCATGGGAAGCAGCAATGTCCTGAAAACTGACTGGGGGTGCCACGGATATTCCAACCTTGTGAAAGGAGATCTCTCTTCTCTCTTTTATTTCTTTCTCAACCTTACTAACCTATCAGGAGTAAGCATGAACTTGGGGCGAAGGGGGTATACCCTGACAAAATAGAGGAAGAAGCTTGATTTGGATACTCAACAAGAAGCCAGATTAGAGCAGTTTTTGGTAACCATCCAGCAATTTTTAGTGTTTTGGGTATAGCTTAGATACTTTCTCACAGAGGTGCCCCGCAGATGATGAGTTCTTATATATATTTATTTTCCTCAATCCTGCAATTTTGAGTTATGCATCATGCAACAAAAAGAATGATTTATGAGTTAAGCATCATGCTTGTAAAATGTTCTTCAGGGAGAAAAATGGCAAGACGGGAGCTAGTGTTCCAACAAAGCACTCACAGTTCTAAAGAATTTACCATGCAAAACACAACTCTATGTCAGGACACAAGACCATGTCACAAATGATGCTCTGAAAACAATTAGATGTAGGACCAAACTGAAGAACTAACATATTACAAGGAATTATCAATGTTAAAACTTACAGTTTTTCCTTAATGATTTTTATGTTAAAACCTTAATTAATAATCATATCCTTGATCATCATGTAGAAAAAATCCTCTTCTTTATATTTCAATAACAAATAAAGAGTCCCCAATTCTTTTAAGATATCACTAATGCCAAACTAAAACAAGAAAGAAGTTGTGTTAGAATGAAAGGATAGACCTGGAGAGTCAGAGCACTGGTGTGTTTGGTGACCAAGAAATTGGTCAAGTTCACACAATATGCCAAGGCAGAATTGAAGAGTAAATAAAAGATTATTTTGATATCATCTCTGGCAAGAGCTATTATGATCCCAACCATGTTTTCCTCCATCAACAATGTAGCAGGAATTAAGAACTAAACAGCTATTGGTGCCATGTATAACAGAAGGTTCATAGAATTTAGTTTTTCCCTGGAAAAGAAATTAAGATAGTAGTGTGGGTTTTCAGTAATGGAAGCAGATAAATAATCTGTAACAAAAATAACGGACCCAAAATATCTACAATTTTGGTATAGAGAAAAAGTGAAGACAAATAGTTAATTACCCTTCTGAGGACAGCAAAATGCCTTGAAGCAGAGACTTTAATGCCCTTGCAGCAGTAGCACCATGACACATTATAAAACCAAATAGATGGAAACTTGGTTCACCCTGCAGCCACATAACAAAGTTCAATAATATAATACATGAAAAGGTCCAAGAGGCCAAGAAACTCTAGAACATATCAGAAATACCGATTATAAATAATTTCTTCAGCAACATAAACAAAGGTTATATGGATAACAGTGCAAGTAATTGAGTCATCATATAAATTAGCCAAATTTGCCAATGCCAAACTTACAGCCATGGATTGGTAAACATCATAGGGTACAAGATGAAAATGGACAAATCAATAATAGGATAAATTACAAGATGAAAATGGACAAATCAAGGGCTGCAATATAGTTTGATATAAATTATGAGGATGTTCAATAATAGGATAAAGTACACTGACCTCCCCCTTAAGTTTAGACAAAACACAACAAACACTACAATTTTAACATAATTACATCGATCTCTCCTTTTAATATAAAGCTAAAAGAACAAAAATTAATGCAAATGATGCGAATACATGAAAATAAATAACATTTCAGTATAAAACTACAACAACCTTTTAAGAAAACCAAATCTAATTATGCTTAACTAGTGAGGTTTACTAAAAATCAATTAAATCCCTATATGCAACATTTTCCTTATGTATGTTATGGAGAAAATTTTACCTTTTCAATTACGAGGAAGAAATGTGAATACATGAAAGGAATCCACCAAACCACCTTGGAAGAACAGGGGTTATCAACCCACCATTAATTGCCACAACAACAGTAATATTTATACTGCTATTATAAGTAAAACTCTTCCCAACTTTACATGTAGTATTCATAACTGGGTGTTGAGCAAGTGCCATGGCCGTAGCCTTAGCTAACAATGCAGTCATAGCCACACAATGAAAATATTTATGAACAAATCTAACAAATGTTCACTAAACACAAGAAATATAAAAATATATCAATTTTTTTATTTTATGTTTCTTCTTAAAATATATCAGTTTTATGTTTCTACTACAGTCTACAACAGTAAAAAGAGGGCAAAGTCAAATAACAGGGGTCATTTTACATTATCTTTTTTTTTTTTTTTTAAGATGACTACAGATAAAGGCTCTAGACGCAACTTGCATGAAATTCCAGTGGCTGTGGGGAAAAAAATATAAAAAAATAAAATATATATATCAGCAAAAAAAAATAGAGTTCAAGAAAAAGGAAGAAGAAATCTGGACAAAACAGAAATCTGGAATGAATAAAAAATCTGGACAAGATCAATTTGTTCTCGATTTGCTGCCAATGAGGAGTACAAAAATCTGGAAAAAAAAATGAAAAAAGAGGAAACAGAAATCTGGACAGAACAGAAATCTGGAAAAAAAAATGAAAAATGATTGTCTTCGTTCTTCGTTTGCTGTGAAGAAACAGAAGAAAAAAATTTGGAAAAAAAATGAATCGAAAAGGAAGACAAATCTGGACAGAACAAAGAAGAAGAGGAAGATGAATCGAAGAAGAGGAAGAAAAGAAAAAAACCTGGACAGAACAAAAAATGAATCAGGAAAATCTGGACAGAACAAAAAATGAATCTATCGTTCCATGTAACCACCTCATTGTCCATGCGATTGAAGCTACTCTCCATCGCGATCTTCCACTCCTCCGTACTCGAATCCTTCTTCTCTATCTCTTCCTTTACAAGTTCATGTAACCGATCTCTACACTTCATCGCCACCTACAAAGAAATCAAACACCTATTAACACTTGTTAATGAAAAACAAAATAAAAATGACTTGCTTGAAACCTTGTTAATCAGCAGATTTAACAAAATGCGAGAGAGATCAGATCAAATCGAGTTCGGATTTTGATGAGATTAGATCGATTTTCTTGTTTGATTTCGGCTCTACAATTTGCGAGAGAGATCGAGTTCGAGTTCGATGAAGAAAAGCTAGGGCAAGAACAGATCTAACAAAATGCAAGAGAGATCAGATCCGATCAGATCGAGTATGGATTTCGATCAGATTAGATCGACTTTCTTGTTCGATTTCGGATCTGCAATTTGTGAGAGAGAGAGAGAGAAAGAGAGAGTTCGATGAAGAACAGCTAGAGTGAGAAAGATCGAGTTCGAGTCCAATGAAGAACAACTATAGTGAGAGAGATCGATATTAATCGCGAGAGAGAAGAGCAGCTCATGAGAGATTGTGTTACTTTGGTAATTGGAATGGGGTTAAGTGTCTGTTAAGTAAAACAGACTTGGCTCATTGAGACCATCAACAGGCATCATGCCTTGAAAAACGTGTTGGCTATTGAGATATACCACAGCGTTTCATAAAACATCTTTGATTCAAACGTCATCATAGGCAACTTTTCTTGTAGTGTTAGCCTTCATTGTCCATGTTAAAGGTTTTTAAGTTATTCATATAATGTAGTATCCCCAAATAAGGTTTCACATGCTAATCTATGACATAAATTTTCGAATTATGTAGGAATATTATCACATCTTATTGGTCTCAGTTCCAAACTAGTATCTTGTATACCACTTAATATAAGTCATTCCGAAATAAATGAGCACATTAGATTCAGAACAGAAGCGTATCAAAGTCATAACAGAGGCATATCTTGCAGAAATTCATGAGCCTTTTTCAAAAGTGACAGATGTCAGGTTGTACCCATATAGTATTAGGCTGTCATACATATCAGAGTAGAACTTTATATACTTTTGTTAAATTGACAATCTTTCTCATACTATCATTTCAAAGTAGTGATTAGATTTCATAACAAGTTTATGTTTTTGGCTGTTTTTCGCGGTCTTATTATCTTCTGTATTAGCTTCCTTATTTACCTAAGGTTACACTTATTTAAGTAATTCAAATTACACTACCTCCATATTTATTTCAATTCTTAGACCTGCATTGATATACTCATTGACTTTGATAAATTGTTACACAGTAACTTAGGGTTAAACTTTTGACTTTCTCAAATCATTACAATTAGCCGACTGAAATTCTTATGTTTCCAAAGGTCTGTTACGAAATATACAATTGTCATTCTAACGAAATTCATTTTCTTATTTCCCATTACGATATCCTTATTCCATTTAACACTAGAGTTCAATTTCTTTACAATAAGTGAGGCTATCTAAGTTAGGATTCAAAATCAAAATTCAATTATGTGTCTATAAGATCATACTATCATTCTTTTTTTTTTTTTTACCATTATTTAGATACGAAATTACTAGGTCTTCTTTTCTTTTCTTTCCTTCTTTTTTTTTTTTTTTTTTTTTTTTTTTTTTTTTTTTTTTGTAAATGGTCTATTTTTTTTTTTTTTGGTGACTTTATTAAAAGTAAACCACAAGTTTTTCTCTTCTAACGTTATCAATGTGATCTTGTTTGACCTGTTTTCCAAATCATTTTAAATCTTGATCTCATTCTTCTAAGCTTGACAATTTCGGGTCAAGTCTTAAATATCCAAGCAATGATTTCTAACTTTATCAATCATTCATGTAGGAATATTACTATGTCTGAACCTGATGGGTATCTAGCATCGTAATGAGCCAAAACAAAATAGATAACTGATGGAGCAAAGTGTAATAAACAAAGACTGGATAGGCCAAATTGTAATAAGCCAAACAGATGTGACCAAACCAACCAACCACGAAGTAGAAGAGAACTCCAGATGAGAGAGAGAGAGAGAGCAGACTTCGTGAAGGAGAGCGAGAAACGAGAGCTCTCGCTATCGCGATCGCGATCAGGCCCAAAAGTTGACGGTGCGATTTTGGCGAGAACACGTGATTTTGAACCAGAGCCTTACGAAGATGAGTCGAATCTAAAAGAACCAACGACGTCGCGAACCAAAGAGAGAACCAGGGATGTTGCGAACCAAAGAGAGAGGTGGAAGTCGACGAAGGCAAAGAGAGAGAGAGATGCGAACCAAAGATCACACTCGACTTTGACTTTCAGATTCAAAGTCGAAGTAGGAGAGCAGAAGCTGATGGAGAACCAGATGGGTCGTCGAATCAACTTCGAACCAGTCGACGACTTCAAGCCAAATGAAAAACCAAACGGAGAGACCAAATTGTGCGAAACCCTAGCCATCACGAGATCAACGATTGTGTTGCTTTGATACCATGTAAGATTCCTGAAAGCTTTTCTGTATATTCAATTGTGTTTCAATACAATGTGTACATCTGATATATATATATATATATATAGCAATTCTAGACCTAATCCTAAATAGGAAACAATAGACCTAACCCAAAATAGGAAACAATATTCACAGAATAAACCTAAACTAAACCTAAACGAATATTATTCTCACAACAGGATGTGGAAACCTTAAATCTTTGCCTAAAGGAATGCAACTCCTCGTCAAACTCAAAACAGTGACTATTGCAGCTTATCCCAAATTGACCTCTCTGCTAAGTACCATGAAGAATTTACCCAAGTTGAGGAATCTTGAGATTAGTAATTGTCCAAATCTTGACTTGGCAGGGTGGGAGGACTTTGTAGGCCTTAGGAGGTTTCAATAAATTGAAGGTACCAAAATTTTATGACCTTGTGGCTTTACCAGGTGAGCCAATTTCTTTGAACTCAAAAGTATTGCTTATATTTTTATTCTTTCTAGTAGTAATTGCTTCTTCTGATGGGCTACTTGACATTGTCTTAGTGCATGTAATGGAAATTTCATATCAGTAAGAGAACCATGAAGTGTGAAGTGACAGGCGTTCGATGGAAAACCAACCAATGGATGGCTTGTATCAAAAAGAGAGGAGGAAGAAGTTGTTATCTCCATCAGAAGCCCTTGAACTTAGCTGCATTTAGGGTTATGCTATTAATGTTATTTTGTTAGGTATGTTATTTATGCAATGTTGTTGCGGAATACTTTTCTAAACATTGTGTTTCTCATTATTGTTGTTATGTATCTACTTTTTTTTTAGTAAATGGTCCTAATGGCTTTGAATTGTCCTACCTCTGCCTCCTTAGTTTAACTAATGTTTTACATATTAGCCTGTTGTAACTAATATTAGACCCGGCTTTGAAATGTAGTTAACAACAAATTTTGCCACGTCACGCCCACCAAATTTTACTGCTTTTCTATCTCTTCAAATGGCCCAAATCACAACAAACAGGTCTTCTATGTGCACAGAATCTAATCATAGAATCAGATATAACTCTCTTATATGGAGTGAGATCCAAACATTTAATGGGTCAGAGTCACACACCATTCCTCTATTCTTTAGATAATTTCCAAACCTCAAGAGGCAGAATAACAATCCAGCAAGCAATGTATATTCAGGAGCTCCATTTCATTATTACATACCTCACAAACACTATTGGAGATAAAACCTTTGACAAGTTAAAAAATAAAAAAAAAAAGCTTCTAAACACAACTCTGCGAAAATTTATTTTTTAATTTATTGATATAATTTTGGATATATGAAATTCATTAGTTTAAGACATTCTAAGGGCAAATGAAATGTTGGGTTAGGGAAAATTTCACTTTGCACCTCAGTGTTTTACACCAAATCTTAGTTTAGCAAAAACTACAACTAAATTCGACACGACTATTGTTTGTCATGGACGCCTTGAACTAAACTACGCTAAATAACTACGCTAAATTTTGACACGGGTGGCTTGCTAAATATTTTATTTGAGTTAGATGTCCTTTTTTTCCATTTTTGAATGGCTTTATATAGCTACGGATGACCATTGGTTCAATAGTTAAGACTTGGCCTAATAACCTCGAGGTTATTGGTTCAAGTCTCACGACCACCACTTTGTGCATTATGCCAAAGGTTAGGTCCGTACTCAATCTTTTCTCTCCCAAACACACATTAATCTATATTAATTGGGTGTTATTATTATTATAGCTACGGGAACCTCTTGATTGTTAGGAATAGCCGGCTGATTCTCCACGGCCACTTGGTTAGTGGAATTTTAGGTTAGCTCTTAAAGTGCAACTGTCCCATGATAGCCACCTGGCCCAAGCATCTCTGGTATATCCCCCAAGAAAATGGAAGTGGTTATTCTACATTAACCCTCAGTCGTTTGATCAAAAGGTAGTGAGATTTCAAATGTGATGAATGAATGCTATGTGTCCAATTCGGGAATAGCTCTCCTCAAAACTCGATCTCCTCCATAACCCTCAAGACTCCATTTTGTAGGAATAAGCAGTCAGTGACCTTCATAGACTAATCTCTCTTCTTGAAATGCAATCACATGATAAGGGTCAACAGTGTGGCTCACTAGACAGACCAACTAGTGGCAATGTTAAAGAATAAAGAGAAGTTTGTTGTTGAATATAGAAATTAAAGTATTTAATATATTTTATTTTATTTTTAGTATTATGTATATAATCTGTAATTGTGTCAATCACTGATTTAGTATTGTTTCCTTATTTATATTATTTTCTTATTAATATCATTTCCTAAATTGTATCATGAATTTATTATATATACATGAATTTATTATAAGTACCTAGTAATTTTGCTTCACCAGCAGGCAGCAGCCTTGCCTTGGCCGCCGCCGGACCTCAACCCATTCCACTGTCATATTTTCTTTCAGTATCAGTTCGTGGTAATATCTTCCTCTATCCACTAGTTTATTCCTATTCCAAATATCCCTATCATATTCTTTTTATTCGCAATCCATTTTTTGTGTGTTTCTACTCCACTTTGTCTTTCTCTCTGTTTCAATCTCAAATAGGTTTCTATCTTCAGACCTATTTGAGTTTGAGGGAGGTATTATACCTATATCGTAGTGAGCATGGTAATATACCATGTGAACCACCAAAGCCGCCCCATCTCACACACAACCCAAGTCGCCCCTTCTGGCGCACAAACCAAGGTGCACCCTTAGTGTACCACCTAAGCTGCCCCTTGGCGTACTTAGTCATCTATTGCCATCATCGTTTAGCACCACGTCATAAGTTATTTGTGTGCCACACTTGCTGGTTTAACATCCGGTCAATTCCTACAACGGTTCGGCGTAACCTCTTTAAATTGTCTTGACATTGATTCCAGTCAGTCTCTTCTAGGGCAATTCAATCCCTATTTTTTTTTCCCCTTTCTAGGGCGTGGTGCTGATGTATTAAGCACTTTTTGGCCTTTTTTATTTAGTGGACTACCAGATTTGTTCGGTAGCATTTATTTGGACTAACCGTTGAGTTTTTTTGGTCTTTAGTGCTGATGTGTTAAGCATTTTTTGGTCTTTTTTATTTAGTGGACTACCAGATTTATTTAGTAGCATTTATTTGGACTAGCCGTTGAGTTTTTTCCGGCTTCTTCCAATCATCCCTTGGCAAACTGCGATTGTTGAATATCTTCACACCAGCTTGAGAGGGAGTGTTGAATACAGAAATTATAACACATAAAATCTTTCTTTTAGTATAATGTATATAATCTATGATTGCGTCAATTACTGATTTAGTATTATTTCCTTATTTATATTGTTTCCTAAATTGTATCATGAATCTATTATATATACTTGACCTCTACCTCTTTCACGGATAAGCCAAACAATTCTTTTCATTCTTTTCACCGCCTATACTCAGAGGAAGAAAGGGTAAAAAAGGAAACTCCTTGGATCATTACCTCATTTTGTAAGTCCTCTACATTTGTGTTTCCTATGACATATTTTATTTCCATTGACTTGGATTTCTGTTATGAAACTCAATTTATTACCTAAATTTTGATTGCATAGTACATTTTATAATTTTGTACTGTTTTCTGTAGTTATTAATAAGTTGTGCCTGATGTATCTGTTGGAACAATCTTCTGTGTAAAATAAAAAACTTAAAATAATTCAAACAAAATAAAATAAAACTTACAGAATTTATTTTGTTGAACCGAATTTAAAAATCAAAAGACCAAGTCGAGTGTGTGACACTCTGTCCTTAAGACAGATTCGCCCCGCTATGGTACATACTGTTGAGTGGCTATCTCCTAGGATACAATGATCTTCATAAATTGTAGTAGTACTCCAAACAATTTGTTCGGCGAACCAAACCTGTGTTCTAACTCTCTGAATATTTATTCTAAAACTAAAATGAAGAATAAAGGACGCAAGAGAGCAAAATGAAGGCAAGGAAAATGAATTTTCGGAATCAAAATTAGAATGGGACTGCCTTTATATAGGCTTTGTTGATACCTATTCAATTTGAATAGAAAAGGTATGAAGAAGGGACATAACCCTTCCTTTAAAATAAAGAGACACCATGAAAGGTTTGCACCCTTTCATTCAAATGGAGGTTTGACCCTTCCTTTAAAACAAAAAGACACCATGAAAGGTTATACCCTTTCATTCAAAATGGAGTCGATTTCAATTCACAACTACCTCTTTATAAATTTTCCAACAATCCCCCACATGAATGAAATTAACAGAGAGAAAATGCAACAACATGATCTAATTATAGAGAGTACAGAAATTGGAAATATTCTGCAAAGGATAGGTAGCTTTTGGCTTTGAACCTTCCCTTGTGAGACACTATCGGATTTACTTGCTAACCAGTGAACATGATGTCTTGAACTGTTCAGTCGTTTGTGTAAACCAAGACAATAGAATATAGAATAATGCTATATTCACCAACTAGTATACTAATTAGTGTATCAATTGATGATGTGACATAATTTAAGATATTTTTGATATTTGTAATTTATATAATACGTAAGATCAATAACAATGTTATAACTAGTATTGGCACACTAGGTAGTACACTAATTGGTGCATGTAACACTACCGATATAAGAATACTAATGTCACACCCCCAAAATAATACAATAAGTACAACTCATAAGCGGAAGATTAGTAGAAACAAAATAATAATATTCATCAGAGTTTGTTTACAAAAGTTAACACATGCATTATATATTCATAAATATTCATCCTAAGTTTACAACATGTGTCGTAATGTTAGGAGAAATTAAGCTAAATATATAGTCAAATGCCATATAGGTTTACATCTTCCCAAGTTATTTCTTGGTTATACAAAAGTGAGCATCGCTCATTACATCTTAAGCCCTTGGCTTTATACAAAAAAAAAAAAAAAAAATACAGTTAAAATAAAGAAGCTCTTGCTTCCAAATGTCCCTCTAAGCTATTGCCTTGGCAGAGGCATGTCACCAACACCTGAAAATATTTTTCTCAGATAGGGTGAGTCACAGCCCAGTAAAAATCATCTAACACAATATATGAGGTTTAACAAAGATATAGGTATAATGTGTACATACAATGCCTGTGATGAAACATTTGCAAATTCGTATACTCATAAGATACCAAATTAATCCATTTTCTTTCAATTCATTTCTAGTTCATTTAATCATCTCAATTCATGAGTCAAGTCCACTATTTTTCAACAACCAAACTAAGACTACAACTCAACGGTTTACTTTCCAATCATATAAAACACACATAAACACTTCAATCAGCCATTTCACGAATATTTCGTCCGCGAGATCGGCACCCATGTATTCGGGACTTTCATTTACGACACTTTGACCAACTTAATTTAAATGGAGTCTATCCCCTTTCTCCTCCCAAACAATGGAGTCCATCCCATTTCTCCTCCTAAATAAGCATACATATACAATGTATTTATAAACATAATCATACATGGAGTACATCATTTTTCTCTTCCCAAATAATCATACATATATAATGTATTTAAACATAGTCATATTCAATGACAATCAACAAGAGATTAGTTTCAATATACCTAATCTTCATGCAATTTCTACAACAATCATAACTATCCTCCATAGA